TTTCTTATCCTTTTTTTTGAATAATCACCTTTATTTGTTTCATCCATTAGTCCTCCCAAGATTTCTTCGCTCTCCTTTGATTTCATGTGGAAAAATAAAATTAACATGAAAAAGTAGTTTTAGTATTTTTTAGTAAATAAATAAATGAAAAAGCATACAAAAAGAACAATCAAAATTAATATGAACGTTTGAGGGATACTGATCGAAGCCTAATAATAATGATATTTTCAAAAGAAAAATGAGTGAAACAAACCTTCCACATTCAAGTAAAAAACCTAAGAAACCTGCATTGGACACAACAAAAGGGTTTTATTTCGTAGACCATAAAGAAAAATATTTTCTGTTTTTTTTAGATTGCGTAGTGTCTTATGCGTTTATAACAGAACAATGATCAGAGCTCCTCTTTCCCATCTTCTGAACACAAAGTCAGATTCAACGGAGAATTTTAGAGTCAATAGTCCAAACAAGATAAGCTGACAATCAAGTGTTCAACTGGAAAAAACTATATTCTAGTTAAGATACAAAAAGAAAAAAAACTAACACAGAGAAGGTGGTATCATCAACCATGATACTTGTTCCGCTCGAAACTTTGATACCGAGCAGGAATCACACGAATCCTTTTAGATAATTTATATAAATGATCAACTCTAGCCATCAACAAAACATGAGCTCGAATCACTTGAGAATGTTCTCTTGTTTAAACATCTCTGTTCACAGTCTTCATCTGATCTCCTTATACAACAATTGTTTCTTTTTTGAGAATGAGTCTTTCACGCACATATATTGAATTTCCATTATGCGTACCGTTTATACGCATAAAGTGTGAATTGTACGAATTTTTTCATGTCCACTATTCTCCACACGCATGTAAACACTGAAAAAGTTAACTTTTCAAGCGTCCACATGGGTGTTTGAAGTATTTTTTTCCTCAGAATTAGTGAAAATATGATGAAAAAAGTTAGATGCTTGAGAATTCATACTTTTCACGCTTTCTATGTTTCGCCGGTTTTTTTCGATCATCGGAAATTGCGACTACCATCCAAAAATGTCCAATTATTTTCTGTGTTTATACATGTTTTTGAGAAGTTTTTCACTATCTGAGTAGAAACAAACTCCAGATATCCAACACTATCTATCTCATATGTAAAATACAGATTAAAGCTCTGAATACATCAGAAGATGAATGATCTTCTATTCTGTTAAGTCATTTGCGAGTTATACAAGAGTCTTTATCATGTTACTGAAAAAGGTTATATTTTTTTTTGTTTGATAATCTCAACATGACAATTTCTAGTTTGAACTTCCTTTTGACCAATTCATTATCAGAAATTGAGTCTATTCAATTTATTCAAGTCTAATTCAATAGGAAAACAAACTTATCTTTTAATACAACAAGAAATTAAACGGATCATCAGTAAGAAAAGCATTCTTGAAACAATACAGTCATACAGACGCGAATACCTCGGTACAGTTTACAATAGAAAATGTTTTCTAAAATATAAGATCAATCATTCGCATCATTTATGGTTTCATATGACTGAATAGCTAAAAGAAAGAAAGTTAAAAAGGTTTTAATCGATGTTTATATATGTCAATTGTTTATGTGAAGATTTCAGTAATGTAAAGAGAATCTCTTCAAAATGCAATGTACTCAAAGCTTATTTATTACTGATTAGCTCATTTGAATAAATAGGATTGTCGATGGAGAAATGGTTTCTAGAAAAAGAATAGTTAAATACAAATGAAGGATGACTTAGGAATCATCTGCATCCATTTTGAAAAATACTATTGCACCCTTTTGCAAAAAGAAATGTGTACTCAACCATAGAAGGCATACTTCATTGAAAATGTTCCAATCTGCGTCTTGACTTGTATTCTTTTTTTCAGCTAAGAAAATGTTGTTCCATTCTGCAAATGTGTTGAAATTTTTAGAACATATTCACCTGTGATGCATTAGGATGTGTACTGCTTTGATTAAATGAGATAATCGTGAGAAAGAACTCTTCATAAAGAAAACCTGAATAATTTTTGTAGAGCATGCTGTAAAGGGCGACGATACTGTTCTCGAGACATGTTTTTTCTGCTGAATGTAAAAATGCATTTGTAATTAAGTATACTTTTCTTAAAACTTGTTCTTATGAAGTATTCAATTGGTAAGTGATACAACTCTAAGGTGATCAAAGCAAAATACTATCTAAGTGAATTTGTGAGTAATAATATATGCACAAATGCTAAAAATAGTCAATAAACTTTAGAAATGATTGAAAATTAGTTTTGTCTGAGGGCTTTATGAGTTGTATTTTGCTCAGTTGAAACTTGATATGCTTCAAGTTGTAGGATTCATATCATGATTAAGTATATTTGATCTTCTCCAAAAAGTGTAGTGAAATTTTGAATTTTTACTTCATTTTATGTACCTCATTAAAATATTTTTGTTCAAGTGCTGTTCTATACAGTCCAATATTTCTTTCGTTTTTTTTAAATTTGAACTAAATAAAACTTAAAATTAAAAATCAGACAAATAGAAAACTATCCAAATACACGACTAAAAAATTTCTCTTGTCAGCTAATAACAATTACTTCTAATTTTGAATTTTATATTTCATCTAATGCTTGTGGCATTTCAGTTCTGTTAGCTTTCCTGTTTTTTTTAATATGTTGCTCATTATTATTTCGTAAATGAGATAAGTCTTGAATTTTTAGTCGTTCTAAACTTGGTAGTAATTAACTACATGTTAAAAGTTCTAATGTAATTAAAAAAATTGAATTTATTAATAGAATTTAATATTTGATATTTATCATACCTAATTTTATAGTTACTCTTTTGATCATTTGATCGATAAATAGCACAATTAATAGTATTATTATCAAGATTTGACATAATTTTGGTTGAAAAAAAAAAATTTAGATAGGAGATATTTTAGAATGGGTATGTATTGGTGTTAGCGATATTATATGAATGGTCAAATCAAGTGTAGATGTCGTGAGTCTTAACGTGCTTCATTTCTCACTAAATGAAATGTTTCGAAAAATAATACAAATAAGTTTTTCTCAGTATTGTTCAAAAAGAAATATCTATATAATTCAAGATAATGAAGTTCTATTTCATTATATAAATAAAATAGGAATTATGCAATTAAATAAACCTGAATTAATTATTATTTAAAGTACTGGATCAAGAGCATTCTCTGCTGGTAGTGATATTAAAAGTAACAAAAAAAAACAGAATTATTTATTTCATATGAACAAATAAGTCAAATTTTAGTTCTCTCAATGACACCATCTAATAACGAAAATATTCGAACCAATTATTTAAGAGACGAATATCAACTTATTTATCTTATTGGAACTTATAAATTACTGTATGTTGCATTGATCAATGGTATTACAATGGGTGGAGTATGTTGAATAGAATTAAGCAGTTATCATTTTGTTTATTACAGGGTTGTGCTTTATCAGTACATGGATCATTTCGAATAGCTATATAAATAACAACAGTTGCTATGTCTGAAACAACTATTGGTAAATGAAAAAAATTGTTCATTGATTTATATGATTCATTTTTTAAAAAAAGGTTTGTTTCCAAATGCTGGTGATTCATATTTTCTTCCGCGTCTATCGAATAATCTTGGTGTATTTCTTGGTTTAACAGTTCATCGTTTACGTAGTATGGATGTTGTGCATGCTGGTATTGTAACGCATTTTGTTTCAACTAATTGAGTATTGTTAATATTTTCATATTTATATCATTGTGATATTTAGTTGATAGATATTGAACAAAAACTTGTTAAATTATCAAAAGTTGATTATAATTCAATAAAAGAGATTTTGGATAAAAGTAGTGAATCGATAAGTTTTCAGAATTTGTCGAAGTGCTGCAAAAAAGAAAATAACATTTAAAGTATATTCTTCGTTTTAAGTGGAAATGTTGGACTTTTATGTCTTCAAATTTTTCTTATCTATAATAATAGTTCATGAAAAAAGAAAGTGTATATTAAACCGATAGTTTTGAAAATCAGTATCTTGATTTCATTAAGAATTTTCCAATGAAGAGGAATCGTAGGTATTGCACATATAGAAAAGATCTTTGCACATAGTTCTCAATCGAAGTCGAAGAGTTAAGTTTCGGAAGTTTTTCAAGATCATTAATCGTTTAACCATCATAATCTTAATGAATAGCTTTGATGGATTTTAAAAATCTTCAACTAGAGTCAGTTTTTTTTCTCAGGAACAGTATATTTTGTTGTTGAACAAATTACTGTTGCGTAATCGAGTGTTTTCAATAGATGTAAAAAAATGTTGAAACTATTTTCGAACAATTAGAATCTGATGGATCATTATTTGCTTTAAAACAACTTTCAATTCTTAAGAAAATGGTTAGTTATTTATATTTTCTTTAGATATTTTAATTATTTGTCTATTTAGAGTCCAATATCGTTGAAAATTACATTAGTACTATTGAAACGAGGAAAACAATTCGATTTAAAAGAATGTTTAAAAATGGAATATCGCATTTTACATTATGCTATAAATGATCATGATTTTTTCGAAGATGTTCCAGCTTGTATGTCGCTATTGATAATAAAAGAAAAAAAAACAAATTTCATTTATCTTTCTATTTTTCTAGTTCTTATTGATAAAGATAACAAACTTCAATGAAAACCTAATTTATTAGAAATACTTTCTGATGAACATAGTGCTCATTATTTTGAAAAATTATCACACGATAAAGAATTGCATTTGTCAGAAAAAAACAATTGATAATCATTGATATATATATATAGGTGAGCTAGTGCATCAAATTTTTCTGATAGATGATAAAATAGATGCTTGTTTTAATTAATTATTTTCAATGAGAGCTTTGTTCGTAGGACTTTATTTAGTAAGTTTTTTATTATGCGTTTGATTTTCTTACATTTTCATTTCTTAAAATGATTTTAATCAGAATTGACTCTACGTGTTGTTTGCATTCATGGATTGATTGATGATTCGATAATAAAATTTTCATAATAAATAGTCTATACTTTCAGCTTACATCTTCTACTTTCTTGGTCTTGGAAATATATGTGTAATTTCGTATACATGGATAAAAATCATAGATTTTCAGAAGAAGAAGTTGGTACAAAGGAAGAAAGTAATAGAAGCTCTTGTGATATCTAGAACCGAATATGCAAAGAGTATCAATCAGATATAGAACAGATCTGGGTTTTTGATGACCGATATTAGTATTAGTTTTGGTTCTGGTTAGATCAAACCGAACTGAATCGGTCAATCATGGCTCTCAATGACTTATGAGTGTGGAAGAAACTACAGTTCAACAGACAGTCAGACGTAGACTGTCTGTCAGAATTTGACAGACAGTTTTCAGGCTACCAGTCAAAATTTTCGCAGACACAATGCAAAAACTGGAAGAAACTAGCACCCTAGTCTCTCCTTTATCGAGACTCATGCTATCTATCGTCGATCAGCTAGTCTAAAAACTGAACCAATATCTGTTGTATCTTTTTAGCTACTTCACTGATCAGAGAACTTACATTCTATAGGGAAAATTTGATTAAATTCATCATCATTTATATGAATTGATAGGTTCAACTTCGACAAACATTTTTATGAAGCCATGAAAAGAGATTGATATAATTCAAGGTTTATTTTTTATACGTTGATACTAATCTCAAGAATTCAGATATTAATAAGATTTTTTTTCGAAAAATTTCTTTGCTATACTGTCGCACTTCTAATATGCTATATTGTCAAATTATTAATCATTTTCAGAAAATATATAAAATACTGTTAAATGTGTTATAGAAATTCTGAATAAAACAGTTGACAATTATCTTGAAACTTTTTGTTAGTTTTCAAGGCAAAGAAAAGACCAGCACAATTTTCCATCAATACATTCTCGTGTATGAAAGATTCTCAAATACCTTAACATGTTCGTGGGCCATGAAATAAAATTCAACCAATCATTTATTCTAAAGCTAAACTAATCAACATTTTGTCTTTCACAAATAATACACTTTCGTAGAAGAATTTTAATTATATAATAGAATTAAAATAAAAATATTCACATAAGTTAATTAATTGTGTAAAGAGCTAATTGTTATCTAAACAAATTTTTAAATATATTTTCTGTTTGTTATTCATCTTTTGAAAAGTTTCAGAGTTGTATTTTTCTTAATATTATTCAGTTAGAAATGCTAATGTAACTGAAGATAATGGAGTATTATTGTATGATATTAATATAAAAAGAATTACTCAATTCAATAAAATGACAAGGATCAAATTCTCTAACGTTTTCAGTAGTTCAGCAGATTTATTTGTCATTGAAATTAGGATTTTTTCTCTTCCATCCTGTGTATTTGACTGAGAAAAAAGTTCTTGTTCAAATGTATTCTCTGTTGGTGATGATATCAAAGATAAATTGTGCTTTTAAGCACTTGAAATTAATAGATCCAAAAAAAAATTCCATGTTACTGTATCGAAGAGGAATATCAACTAAATTTATATCATTTTTATAGTTAGTTGGAAGAAACTGAACAAAAACTTGTTAACTTACCAAAAGTTGATTATAATTCAGTAAAAGAATTTTCGAGTATAAATATTGAATCGATGCATATTTAAGTTTTATTTTAAGGTTTCAATTATACATGATGCTATGTAAATAATAAGACTAAATGTTAATATGTGAAAACAGTTAAACAGCCATTTTAAAAAAATGATAGCGTCTCATGAATGATGAAGATGTTAAATACGATGGCCTTTGTTTCTAATAGAAATCAGAAAAGTAATGATAATCTATAGGAATATTTCAAAAAAGGAATATCATATGATTCAATAGATTTTGAAAGACCATGAATTTGTCCAAGATGTTTGAACTAATATGTTGCTTCTGACAAAATAATTATTATATCTAGTCTCTAACGATAAAAATAACAAATCTAAATAACAGCGAATATATTAGAAAATATTTCTAATGAATATATAGCATGTTATTTTAGTAAATTACGATTCAATGAAGAATGAGAATATCATGAAAAAAATTTTAAGAAAAAAAAAGCAAAGAATAGTTATGTACTCTAGTGAGCTAATCATTAAAATCTGTCTTTTTTTCATGGGTGATATGATAGATTTTTATTAATACTCATTGGTTTCCATGAACAACATTTGTCTATTGATTGAAATAAATTTTTATTTAATAACAACAGTGGTAATTATTGATTATAAACAATAAAAAGTTTAATTGATCCTGTTGATGTTAACTATTCATTTTTTGGAATAATTAGAATGAATTTTCTAAAAATTCTTCTTCAAGATCATAATAACTATCATTATTACGTATATTCATACAAATCATAATGTGTAATAGAAATACAAACAAAGATACTATATAATTATATTCCTACTCGAGTTAGAAACAGCAATGTCTCGTTCTTTTTTTTTGTTCAGTTGTCTGTCTAATGGTGGTTAAGAAAAGCGAAAAGAAGAGAAAATATATAGAATATTTAATTTATCCTAATTTTCTGTTGGTAGTCTATCTACTTCTAACAATGAGAATTGTGATGATATCTGAGGTAATTATTAAGTATTTATTGGAAGCACATGTGAATCATCAAAAAGAATATTGCATCTAGTTGACTTGTTAAATTTTGTAAAAATTTAATAGAATATCAAATAGACTTTTAAGTTTGTGATCTGTTCAAAAAAAAATACGGTGCTTCCAAATTTAATGTGAGTATCATGATATATCAGTAACAATCAATAGTTTTTAGAAGAATAAGATCTCATATCGTTCTGGACAATTTCTTTCTTTAGATTTAGTCAGAATATGTTTTATAAGATTAAAACATTAGTCAAGAGATCTAAATAAACTTCAAAAAAATAATTTCCCAACATTTCTTCATCTGTATCTCAAGGATTAATGAAGTTTGCAATTAGTTATAAGTCGTTTAAGAAAGATTTCGATTTTTTATTTTATTAAAAGATTTTCAATCTTGTAATAAAATTCATCACGATATTACACTTCTAACTCTTTCTCAAACACAAGAATTCATGTATAGATTATTATGTGATATATCAATATCACTGATGAATATCTGTATAGTATTGGCTTAGGTTTCAGTGAAGGAAACAAAAAACTTACATTGTCCAATGGTATTAAAAGTGAACCATTAATACTACATATCAAAATTATTGAAATATATACATATAACAATTTATCTTTTGTGTCTGTTGCAATTTTTCTCTGTCTATTTTATTGGAACAATATAATCAATACTTCTATCGTTCTCTTCTGCTATTGTTATCAGAGAAATATTTTGTACTCTATCGACAATTAATTTTCTTTTTTTCCTTATTCCTCTTAGATGTTGCCAAGTTCTTACATGTTATCAAAATACGAATTATCTGTAGAGAAAGTAGAATATTAAATTATAAATATTTATTTTTAGATATTAAATTTAATTAAATGAGTGAACTTGTATCTCGTTTAAAATTTATTCTTCAACGTATAAATGAACTATCACCACCTCATCGTTCACCTGTTCGTTTAATTGCCATATCAAAGACAAAACCAGTTGAAGATATCATTGAACTTTATTCTGCTGGTCAACGTTATTTTGGTGAAAATTATGTCGAAGAATTAGAAAAAAAATCTAATAATCATTTAATTCGTAGTCAATGTCCAGATATATGTTGGCATTTTGTTGGTCATCTACAACGGAAAAAAGTTCCTCGAATTTTAACACGTGTACCAAATCTTGATTGTATTCAAACTATTGATTCTACTGACTTAGCTAATCGTTTAAATTTAGTTCTTCAAAAACAATCACGAAAATTAAATATACTTCTACAAATAAACACAAGTAATGAAAAACAAAAATATGGAATTGAATCAAAACAATTTTTATCTTTATATGAATATATTAAAACAAAATGTCCATTATTAGTGTGTCAAGGTTTAATGACAATTGGTTCATTAAATAATGTTCAAATAGAGAATGACCAAGATTTTCAAGTTTTAATTAAATGTCGAGAAGAACTATGTGCAAAGTATAATTGTGAATTAAATACTATTGAACTTTCAATGGGTATGTCGCATGATTATGAACGTGCTATTCAAATGGGAAGTACGATTGTTCGTGTGGGTAGTTCCATATTTGGAGCTCGTCATTGATTCTTGTTTTTTATTTCTATAAAAAATAAAAACATAACATTTCTTGAGCCTTCTTTCAGATTAATGTATGCAGACCGATCATTTCAGGTCCAATTTTTGGAGCCAAAATTTGAACTAGAATAATTTGTTCAATCGATTACTAAATTACTTATTATTGAAATTTTTTGTTATCTTTTTTATAACATCAAAATCTAGTGATAGAACAAATTTAGTAAATAGAAAACAACGTATGTATTTCATGTGCAGTGAAGAGAAAATAGATCTAGAAAAAAATTATTTATCATAATCATAGAATATTTATCGACATTGTTAAACAAGTTTCATCTCTTGAATCAAAAGTTCGTCAATAAAAGTTGATCAGTGCGAACTATCAAAAAAAATTACAAAGCCAAATCAATTTCGGAGCAGAAAGTCTTATCGACATTACAATTGAAAACATTTATTATTGACAGAATCAGGTCTTAAATTGATCATTATCAAATGATAT